CGCTTGGTCGACTGATCGACGACGATTGCCCATACTACTCGCAGACGAAGTTTTCGCAGGTTGAAACGTATGGAGCCTTCAGAAATTCCCAGTCTTCTTGCAATTTCCCTATTAGACACTCCTTCTGTATACAGTGCTTCAATGTTCCCTTTAGTAAATTCTGACAATTCCCTAACTTTCGGCATGGCTCAATGTTTGTAAATAAAAATTACGTATCTGACACTATGACCTCGATAGGAATATTCATGAACTACAACTGACAGGTATTCCCGCCCAGAAGCGCGTGTTGAAATAATTTCAGCTTCCCAATTGGTTCAAATTTGCATGAGAAAGGACACGACTATCGCACATGTTTTATGGCGCGAAGTTTTAATGAGATGCAAATGATATGCAAATGAGCGCGCTCCCATAGAGTTAACCATGGCGATTTTCGCTCACTGAAAAAACGTCTACATACAAAAAAACTAAACACAAATCAACCATTTTATTTTGACTAAAATGCACTAGTTCTTCTTAAATTTAGTATATTTTAAAGTCAACACATCATGTTACCCGAAATTGTTATTTTTAGTTACGAAAACGATCAAATGACAGGTGCGTAAATACTTTCTGGCGGGTCTGTAGTTATGTTGAAAAATGCCGAGTTGTGTTTTTTGTCAATTAAAAAATCGTCAGGACTTCACTAGCAATATTTTTAACGATATGATTAATTCGACAAATCAAAAACCAACGTAAAAATTCTTACAAAGCTTTAAAAAAGTTATACACTAAAGAGTTAAACAAAACTCACCTAGCCTGTATCGCTTTCATCCTAAACTGCATTTCAGCTGCTCCTGCTGAATATTGCTCTATAACGTCTTTTACATCATATGGTCGGAAAGCTTCCTTAAATTTTCTTCGAGCAACAAAATATTTAATTTTTCTGATTGCACGTACAGCATTTTTATGAGGTTCTGTAAGTCTGGTCAGTCCCATTGTTTCATCATCATCTAAATGATTAGATAATTAATCAGTGAGCACAAATCTATATCAGAATCAAGTTTATATTGAAAACACAAACGTTAAAACAAAACGAGTGTTCGATATATACTTAGACTCTGTTATAACTGAGCCTCTGGAAAAGATGTATGATATGACTTCTTGTGTGCTTTGATATATTTTTCTCTCATTGTTTTAACCAGTGTTTTAATTGTTTTATGGTGTTGACGTTATTTGAATTGTCACCCAGCAAAAGCATTGACTTAAACAAAAAATAATTAAAATTAGTGAGAATATTATTCATGATATCATACCAAGTAATCTTTTGAGTGCAGCTATATTCTGTGTCACAAACCATTCAGTTGTCTGCGGCTCTGGTACTACTGGTTCGTCTTCTTTAATGCTATCTGCTTTGAAAAAATGTTTGTTAAATAGTGTCATGAAATACATCTGATATGTACGTGCTGTTTATGTTATGTATCCCGTTAGATCATCATCCTACCAAATAAATATGCTAATGGCAAAATTAAATGCACATCATGGTTATATTTATAAAACAAAACATGCCTCCCAAGCAGCAAGGCATTATGTTCTTTGTATTTCGAATATTAACAGTTGGGCTGTTACATTATGTCTTTTCATAAGATATGTTGGTTTTTCAACAAAGATGATAGAAACACATCGTCAACTGACACGTATTACAAATAAGTCTCGTTTACAATTGCTACATTGTTATATGGTTAATACGTCATTAGGTGGTGCATGGTAATAGCACCATCTGATATGTCTTAACAAGACGACCATGCTCTGTTTACACTATCGGTAATGATACATTCATTCATTCATTTTAATATAATAAATCTAAGCAATATGATCTACGAATAATTATTCTTATATACTTAACACAAATCTAGTTTACGATGTAAATTATTCAGCCTGGCATGGCACTTAATATGAGTAACAAAATACCACATAACACTTCAACTCAATGCGATATACAGCACATAACAGTTGGAAACATATACATCAACAATTCTACAATGAACCATAATAAAAACAGTATGAACACACCAACACAGTTACACAAACACCAAATAGGGAAGATATATGGACAAGTTTACGATACTGGTTACTATTACTGTTAAGTGTATTCATAATAGTTTACCTATGTTAACCACATACAACATAGAACACATTCTACAGACAATTTAATGGTGCAACTTATAATATTGAGAATAGGTTTAAGACTATCAGAATATATTGCCATTGTTATCTCTGTTTGTAAGGTTCAAATTATGCCTTTATAGCTATTTTAGTTACCTCATGGCTTATCTATTGTTTTAATAATACATGCAGTGTATATATACTGATATATACACAGTCTTTCAGTTCATTGTTTGGAAATTAATCAGCGATCTCACTAGAAAAGTCGAGTCAGTCGTGTAATGAATTTTGGAGATATTTCTTTTAATAATCCCCGAAAGAAACAACATTTATGTATTAAATATATTTATTAAACAGCAAATTAATTAATTAAATGTTATACACACCATTTAAGTTAATTTTCACAATATATCCAATGACTATTAAACACAATTTTAGTGTGAAATTTGATTTCTTGTTAATTGACACATATATTAATATACTCAAGAAGACACGATTATTATTAGCCAAACAGATCGAGTTTTGTTATGACACATTTTTAAACAAATACGAACAAAACACAAAACATTTTGCACAAACAATAATAGATCTAGATGACATCAGCCTAAGATCTCGCACTAAGTGGTCTTATAGATTAAACAACCTGTTAAACCCTTCAATATATAATGGTACATTCCAACATTTGTAAATTGGCTATTCTAAGACAGACAGAGGTAAGGCAGGTGAGAAAGTGATAATCCAGCCATGCAAATAAAAAAAAACACCAGGCATCATTACCTCCACTTCCGGTGGACGTTTCTTGAAAATGTGGAGAAATAAAAAGAAAGTTGAAAAAAACACTGTCTTTGAAATAAACTTAAGAATCGCTATGCTATAAATAGTGTGGTGAAGTATGTACATGATCAGAATCAATTGGGCAATGGATCCAGAAAATGGAAAAGGATTTTTGAGAATGGTCTGAGATCTTAGAGTGATGTGCGATAAACACAATGAGACAGCATATAGACTGAAAGCGAGAGATACAAGCAATTCCATGCATGCACATATTTTGTCTTCAAAATAATGACAGTGATTCACTAAAAACGTTCACAATCACTGACAAATTCATGGAAAATTTAGCTTCAGCAACAACATGAAAGATGAAGAATATTTAATCCGAAGCAAGCAGCAAGCAAACACTTCATTTCTATTTGCGATTTGTTAGTACAATTATCATGCATAATTGACACCCACGTGCCTGCTCTTAGGTTAATATACCGATTATTTTTTTATGTGATATTATTATGAGATAAAGTGTAATTTACTGTGTTTCTGATCACCAATATGAAAATACTTCTGTAGATGATGTGGTTAATCTTTAATCTATTGTGTTGTGATTTTACACTATAAGAGAATACTTTACTTAATAATTTAGTGTAAAGCATGCAAAGTAACAGTCAAGTAATTGATTATGTTTTTCCAATCAGCATTTTACTGATATTTGGCACCTTGATTTGTGATGGAGTGTGTTCACCAAACCATGCGAGTTGAAAGATACAACTATGCATATTCAACTCTGCATATCCAAGTTGGAATATTGCAAGGCCAACCGCTGGATAATATTAAAACATGCAATGTGTATTTAATGTAATCAGTAACAACTGTCTATGGCATTAATGGTCAATAGGGACACCTCACCAATTGCAGCTTTTCCTCTACATTGTACTTCCTGTCTGCCAAACACTTCCAAGGCAATAAAAATACAGTACATGTCAAAGGATTGGACAAATTGGTGATGGGTCACTAACATTGTTCTATTAATTCTGTTCAATGAATCTCTCATTAGACACGTAAAGTTTTACTATAATAACTATAACAAAAACATCCCAGTATGATCACTGCAAGTAATTGTTTTTAGGTGATTGTTTTATATTAGGCAGAGGTTGGTGTATTACTCTATACCATAGTTATAGTAAATGCATATTATATAATTAAAATAAAATCTGATCAATCGACTAGTAGATACATCAGCAATTAAAATAAATTACAATTAAATACAATAATTGATGTATTATACATTTTAGTACAGAAACAAATATAATTGCCATGCTTTCCATGTGGTTTAGAGCTCAGTACATGACAGATCTACATGATAATAGATGATATCATATTCATGTGATACTGTAACCAAACAATAGATTCATGTAATATGGTTCCTTAGCAGAAAGTGTCACCAAAAGAAGCAATTGTATATAACACCATAATATTCAGGGCACTTACCATCATCTCTGTTTTTTGGAGAATAAAGCGAATCCTGATTTCGTGATAATGGGCCATTACCATCATGAAGACTAAGTGAACTTTTATTCAGACTATCCCCTACATCTAGATCATGGCTATGTGATTTTTTCAAAGCATCATGCTGGTTCAATGGATTGTGCCTTCTAACCATTGGACTTCCAATTTTTCTTTTTGTTGAAAGACGTGATATTAGGCTGGGGTTCGTCCTATTTCTGTGAATAGTGGAGGTTCTGTTCACACGTGAGGAACAAAGTGTGAAACATACATAGTGTGAATATCAAAAGCCCATTAATACCTTAAGAGAAGATAAAATTATATTTCAACCTTTTTCTATGCTGTCTAGTCTAGCGCATTTGAAACAGAAGAGACAGTATACCAAAATATTTCAGGAATTTATAGAAAGAAACCATGCTTGAAATATAATAGCAACATATTGGAACATAGTTCATATTCATGATCAAAAACATTATAGATGTCACCTACATCACGTAATATTACTAATATTTGTATTCCAGTGGTATATCCAGTATGTTGTCATAACATTAGAACAAATATTGAGCCACCTTTAAGGCAATATGCATTTTATAATGCTACCTTTACATAAGAAATATTGTAAAACATGTATCAATCATTGCAGCATGCTTTATACATTATATTGTATATTGTGACAATAACTGGTGACTAATTTGGTAGGCAACAAAACATGCATGCAATGATAATGGTTCTATTAACTCACGTAGTAGGGCTGTTAACTGGTCTTAAATGAGGTTTCCATGTTGCTACGGACATAGAACATGGATCTGCTGCATAGCAACGCCACACACACTGAATCAAAGAACACATTTCAATTATATGGAAGTATTCAAGAGCATGAGAATATGTTATGCATATCAATGTGTCATATTGGGTACTCAATAGTTTAAGAACATGTGTATATTCCAATATAATTCTAATAACAGGCAATGATCAGTCTTACTTCTCAGCAAGTAATCACAGTGAATTGATATCATGAACAGTTCTAGGCCAACACACTATAACAATTACACCTGCAAAAGGATGAATTTGCTACATAAATATGAAGTGAGGAGGAAAAGTTCTCAATGTTTGTCCTGAGCATTGAAGGACCTAGGATGGAAAACTAATTAAATCAATCAATTGTATGTCGTGTGATACAAGTAACTAAATAATATTTGAATACTATTTCTCCAATTTGTTGTTCTGTAAAAAGATTTTCGCACCAACAAATAACGTGAAATATGTTCCACCCCACAAGTTTCCCTACTTTTTTGTACTCTGGATGTGCTGTGGTGAAGACCAGTGCACTGATGTAATTAAGTTAGTATGCGTCTCAACATACCTGGATAAGTTGAGCTGCTGGATGGCGTCTTCGTAAGAAATGTTTTTGCCTTTGTTGTTGTTGCACTTTAAGGGCAAATCCTGAACCTAGAATACCCTGTATTAAGAAAATACAGAGAACAGCCATACTGGACTGTTTTTATTTGTACACCATGTTTACTAAGGTTACTCACCTGTATGAGCTCAGCTGCTGGATGGCGTCTTCGTAAGAAATGTTTTTGACGTTGCTGTTGTTGAACCTTAAGGGCAAAGCCTGAACCTAGTATACCCTACCAGAAAGAGGCAATTGATCAATGGCATAGTTATTTTGGTGACATTCTCATATTTGCTCTTAAAATAATTAAAAGGCATGTCATCAAGTTTCAATCCCCAATAATTACTTTCATTCAACTATTGGAAATATATGGCAAGAGATGAGCACATTTCACCTCAAGCAAGCAACACTCAATGGTCTATGACAAAAAGAAGGTTGTTTGATATACCTCAATCAAGACAATTCACACCAACGCAACGCATTGAAAAGTTGATTTTTAACGGGTAGCACTGGAATTCAGCAAAAGAGATGATCATCTGATATGAAATAAATCTACCCCCAAAGCAGCAAATCTTTTTTTACTTCAAAACAATAATCAAATGTAAACAAAAGAAGATTATCACCTAAAATGAGTAACACTAGATTGTAGCACAAGGAAAGATTGTCTGATATATCACATTTAAACCTTTCATCTCAAATAAATAGCACTAGAATGTAGCACAATAAAAGATTGTCTGGAACATCAACATTTAAACCTGTCACCTCAAATGAATAGCACAGGAATGCTGCCAAGGAAAGACTGTCTGATATATCATAGATATATCTAAATTTATATATATCTAAATTTAAATCTTTCACCACAAACGGATAACACTGAAATGTAGCACAAGGGAAGATTGTCTGATATATCAGCATTTAAACCATTCACCACAAATCAAAATCACTGGAATGTAGCACAAGAAAAGATTGTCTGGAACATCAACATTTAAACCTGTCACCTCAAATGAATAGCACAGGAATGCTGCCAAGGAAAGACTGTCTGATATATCATCATTTAAACCTGTCACCTCAAATGAATAGCACTGGAATGTAGCACAAGGAAAGACTGTTTGATATATCAGCATTTAAACCTTTCCCCTCAAATGAGTATCACTGGAATGTAGCACAGGGAAAGACTGTATAATATATCAGCATTTAAACCCTTCACCCAAAATGAATAGCACTGGAATGTAGCACAAGGAACGATTGTTTGATATATCAGCATTTAAACCTTTCACCTCAAATGAATAGCACTGGAATGTAGCACAAGGAAAGACTGTTTGATATATCAGCATTTAAAGCTTTCACCCCAAATGAATAACACTGGAATGTAACACAAGAAACGATTGTCTGATATACCAGGATTGTTAACCTTTCACCACAAATGAGTAACACTGAAATGTAGCACAAGGAACGATTGTCTGATATATCAGCATGTATACCTTTCATCTCAAATGAATAACACTAGAATGTAGCACAATAAAAGACTGTTAGATATATCTAAATTTTAATCTTTCACCTCAAATGAATAACACTGGAATGTAGCAAAAGGAAAGATTGTCTGATATACCAGGATTTTTAACCTTTCACCACAAATGAGTAACACTGAAATGTAGCACAAGGGAAGATTGTCTAATATATTAGAATTTAAACCTTTCACCTCAAATGAGTAACACTGGAATGTAGCACAAGGAATGATTGTCTGATATATCAGCATGTATACCTTTCATCTCAAATGAATAACACTAGAATGTAGCACAATAAAAGACTGTTAGATATATCTAAATTTTAATCTTTCACCTCAAATGAATAACACTGGAATGTAGCAAAAGGAAAGATTGTCTGATATACAAGGATTTTTAACCTTTCACCACAAATGAATAACACTAGAATGTAGCACAGGGAAAGACTGTTAGATATATCTAAATTTTAATCTTTCACCTCAAATGAATAACACTGAAATGTAGCACAAGGGAAGATTGTCTAATATATTAGCATTTAAAGCTTTCACCTAAAATGAGTAACACTAGAATGTAGCACAAGGAAAGAATGTCTGATATATCACATTTAAACCTTTCATCTCAAATAAATAGCACTAGAATGTAGCACAATAAAAGACTGTTAGATATATGTGAATTTAAATCTTTCATCACAAACGGATAACACTGAAATGTAGCACAAGGGAAGATTGTCTGATATATCTGCATTTAAACCTTTTACCACAAATGAGTAACAGGATTGTCTAATATAGTATCATATAACCATCAAAGAGCAACATCAAAATCAAAATGTGATTACTGCAAAGCAACACATTGGTGTGGTGTTTTATGTCATTTTATAATATTGGATTTTCAAACCAATAATCTTAATAAATAATCTCAGTATATCTAAATGAAAAAATCAAATTTTGTCACATTTAACAAATCCAAGTACATATATGAACATATAAACAACCATACATGAGATTCAAACATAGTAAAGCGCCTTCCCACTGGAAGTAGGTGTGCACCTCAGTACACCAGTCACCGAACCCAAAAAAATTGGCTTCAAACACTAACTTAACGAACATGTGTCACAGCGACTAGAACATGCAGAAGCCAAATTTATAATGTAACAGACAACATACATTTAAAGCCAGATATTCAGTATGACCTTCTATAACCTACTACAAAATAATTTGTTCAAAAATGAACAAATAAGTCCATTTGATCAAAAAATAATAAAGAAATCAGGCAGCAAAATGTGCATGCTCAAAAAACTAATCATATATTAGATATACTCAAGCCAGTATCCTCCTTCTACAGTGATGGTTGTAAGTTGATTCATATTGAAAGTAAAGTGGGAGAACAAACATTGATGACAGCACTGCAAATTGTAGATGTTTTTTTTTAAATAAGTTGAAATTGAAAGAAAGTCCAAAATCATTTTGTCTATTGAAAAAAAGATTTACAAAGAATGTCACCAAAGAAATACTTCTAAAATTTAAAATGGCGACATGAAAGGTCATGCATACTCTAAAGAATGATGCAGTGATTAGAATGGTATTAGTTTGCTATATAGATTTTTTGTATTAGTTTAGGAAATGAAGATGCAATGAAGAACATGCATATTCATGAAAGACCCCCAGCAGATCATGCATATTCATAACTAACCCCCAGCAAAGGTGATGCATATTCATGACTGCATTCTACTCATGATAGATGAAGGCAGAACAGAAAGACTGAGCTCATACTTGGAGTAGGAAACATAGAAGGAAAGCTGAAATGGTGATTGAGTATCAGATGATGCAGAACAAATGTTAACTATACATAAGAAGAATGAACAAGAACATGATGCACACTCACATGAAACATTATAAAATAAAATCAGGTTGTTTACACAAATATGCATATTGCATTTCCACTATTTGAAGTGATCAACCATATCACATAAATGATAAAGTTTTTGTGAGTAGAACTTTGCATTGCACTACACTATATTGCAGTAAGAATTCAGTGAGAATGCTTTTCCATATTAAGGCACCAGTCATGTTTGATATGAGCCCCATGTGAAGTATACAATGAAGATAATTACATTATTTGTTTACATAAATTGAAACTCTACTGAGACGCTTTAAACTAAGTGTTTCTATGGATGAGTATTCAGCTTATCCACATTGAGATTTTATGTAAACGAATAGATATGAATATGGCACATATCAAACATGGCATTGGGTGAGGAGTGCATTGATTTAATATCTTTTCCATGACCCTTGATTGACGCACATTATGGAAACAGAAATGAGTCAAAGTCAAAATTAAACTGAAATCATGGTTCAATTGGTATGAAAACATATTTTCAATGTTAAGTATTTTAAATTGGGTGTACTTTTTGTTCAAAATTAAACAACAACTTTATTGCATTACAATTTTAATAGACGTGTGCTGCCAATAGAGGAAATACAGTACATGGCAATTGGATAACGTCAAAGATCGATAATCATGTATGATTTTCAGATGTGATTAGGGAATCTATATACCACTACAAAGGTTTTTTATTTGATTCAAATTTTAAAGTAGCTCAATTTTCTTATGTTAAAATGTAATAGCTAAACACAACAAATTCAATCTGTAATTTCATCTTATAGTGTGAACACGGTAACAGTTTTATTCAGTAAATGATTACTTTTTATCAACATGTTCCTGTCTTACTATCCCACAATGCAATGTGTTAATACAATGAAACATATACCAGGTATAAACCAAACATTAACATGACTTCACAGAGGTGTTCAGTTTATAGAGGTTTTCTTAGCCTTAGTTTTTTCCACAAAATGAAACAAAACAAAATCGTAACCTTAAATTTTGAACGACTCGCCACGTCACAGAAATAAATTTGTTGAGAATATTTAGTTTCCATCTTTTTTCCACCTACTTTGCAGCTCAATTCATTTGTATTCACATGATGTGACAGCTATTTTGGAATTGTTGAACACTGATGGCACTATTCATTTCGTGTTTTACAGTGTGAAAATTTCTCAGATATTATTAGGCCAATGAAAAAAAATGCGAGTTAGGGTTAGGGTTTCTTTTTGTTTCATGGAAAAGACTAAGCCGTTTTCTTAAACAAGCAAGTATGGAGGGAAAGAACTGAAAAATATGACCAGGTAAAGACAGGTTTCCCGATTGTCCTATCTTGAATACAACAGCGATAAAGTGAATTCTGAATTTCCAGGATTTAACAATTTGGAGTTCCACAAAACGAAATATAAATTTGTCTAATGAAAAGAGCTCGCAAAAATGCACGGAAGATAATCAGATATGGGAGCACATTATATTTGTTGCTGTTTATGCCAACATATACCCATGATGCAGTGTGTGAAACAAAAGAGCACTGAGAAGTATATAGGGCTTGATATAGCCAATCGTACTGTATTGTGATTCAAGAGTGTAGACAAATCGAATATCTGTCTATGTAACGTATTTATCAGTTAGTTATAATCAGTTATTATATTATGGTAAATTTGGAAATCCAAAATTGGTAAATTGATGTTATGGTCAGTAGTTTTAATAACATTGAAAGCCAAAACATGCTTTCGTAAACTGAATTACAAAAACAAAATTCATCAATTTCATTTCTTATTGATAAATTTTGTAATGCATAAGCTGGAAACGGGCCTGATGAAATAACAAATCTCAAGCTATCATTGATGATCTGATGTAAGGTGACAATAATTCACAGTAAGCGTATGACTTGACAGGGCTGGATATAGAATGAAATGTCAGGGTTAAATGAGAAGTAACTTACAGCTGGCAGTGCAAAGAACGAAATACCAACTATAGCAAACACTGCAGCCACTAATTTTCCAACCCATGTCACAGGGACCTTATCACCATAGCCTACAGTTGTCAAGGTGACCTGAAAATAAACAAATTTATTTATATTATCAGATATGGAATTGTATATACATGTACATTTTTGCACTATAGCTCCAAGAACACAATAGCTAATAATGTCAAACATTACACACATTACCCATGTGACACAAAGAACTGATCAGAATATTAAGGTCAAAGGTTAATGTCACAGCAATGTCATACAACATGTTTTCAGCCTTAACTACACAATCATTAGGTCTAAATTAAATCTGATACAGGTAGGCATCTCCTTTGATTGTTGTCTAGTTTATGTTGTGATCAAGTTAACCATTAACAATATGAGGTTATTACATTGATACTGCACAGTATGCACAAAGGCAGTAAAGCAGGAGTATCAACTGACGCATAGCAGAGGTCAACGAGACCACATACTGCTCGAGTGCATACTTTGTTGTATCCTCGTAATAACCTTATTATTATACATATTTTTCTCACAACGATACATAATGGGAATTCCAAAATCCAAAAAGTTTAGAACAGATTTAACAAACTTCTTTGTGTGGGATCCAGTCAAACTTCCCGCTGGGAGCTGCCATGTTTGTTTTTATTATTAGAGAATGCTTATGCACGTAATATTTCTATATTTGGAGTTTGCATTTCCTAATATGGTAGGATGCAAATATGCAGTGCAATACCCCAAAATTACGACAAGTTGTAACTTATGGTGTTACGGTGACAGATGTATATAATAATAATTATAATTATAATTATAATAATTTTATTGACAGAAATAAAATGTTAGTAATAATATATATATGATACTAAAGTATAATTTCAGTCACAGCTATTCCTGATTTCAAATAATTTGTATAAATATTCATTAGCTTCGCTTATTATACCATTTTCTCTTGAACTTTTAAATAAATATAATTTCAACATCACTTTGAATGCCAAACTCACCTTTTACAGAATAAAACCAGCATAATTTTTTCCCTAATTATCAACAAATTGTTATCAAATCTGTGATTAGTGGTGAATCAGGTAAGAAAATAACTAAGAAATTATAGATAAATGCATAAAATGTCTGAATATTAGTGGAAACAATTATGACATTTAAATTAAACTTGTGGCTTTGGAAATTTTTTTTATGTTTGTTGCAGTTGCCTGTCCCTGTACTTTCCATAAACTAAATATAGACACAAGTACTCACCAATCCCCACCACATTGCATCAGCAAAAGTTTCAAAATCCTCTTTATTTTTTTCCATCTCTGCATTGTATACTAGAAAGGATAAAACGCTAAGACTTAAGAAACCAATGTACCATGTTGTGATCAACTCCTGCATAAAAAGAAAATAGAAGAAAAATGAGTTATCACTCCCACAAGAATATATAATACTGTAAAAGGGGTAATTATTCACTGGGTTTTAATTTTGCTTATTTCGCTGACTGGAAAAAGCGCTAAATTAACACCCAGTGAATATGTAAAATTGAGCATAGAACACATTATCTAAATGATAAAACAGTGAATTTAAAACCTACTCAATATGCCTGAAATGTTAAATCAATGAAATTTAAACCCAGTGAAAATTAGTAATTTTACAGTATACATCTAGCACCAAAAACAATAGAATTTTTTTTTTACACAGGACGAAAATGTGACAGGATGTGCACAACGCTAAACGCTTTTCGATGCCATTTCAGGATATAATCTCACATTATTATTAGAAGCAGGAACTAGGGGGTATTCATCCCTTAGATAAAGCTATATGGCCAAAAAGCAAGATGGCTGCAAGACTGTTATCTTTTATCTGATCACAAATTTAATTGTTATCGACATGTATTGCTACATGCATAATATATGCAAGTAAACTGGAAATGCAAATCACTGGTCATGTGACCAGGTAAATTGTTTCTGAATGAATTTTTAGTGTATGGACAGTAATTGAAACTGTATAATAGACTAATCTAGTATCAACAAACATCAGACTTCTTAAATGACTTCTAAATTTGCAATCTCATAAACTCGATTTCTATTTGCTTTTTCTCATATTCATGTGATTTTTGTGTCCAAACTCAAATAAAGTGCCTGTCTCCAGTATTGTAAATGTGTGTCAGCTGATTTTTTATTACCCAATGTTTTCATGGTGGAAAATTAAGACAATTTAATGAGCACGACGCATCAAACATGAAGGTGTACTAATAAGGTTATCACAAGGATAGCGCGAAAGTATATAATCAGGCAGTACAGATCACATCAACCTCTACTATGTGTAGGTAGACACAAACATTATACTGACTTCATGCATATGTGGTAGTCTTGTAATAACCTCTTAATACATGATTAATAAATAAATAAAATTTGAGTAAAAATATAACTTTTGATTAATGAAATAGATAATTAAACAAGCAAAAATAATTAATATAACTTTTAATAACCAAATTAAGAAATATATGAAACAAACAGCATAATACAACTTTTATTTTCAACATACAAACAAATCAATGAATATATTAAAAGAAAAACACTCACCTGTCTATGGGCCCATACAACTGAGCCTAATAGTTTCCAGGTGCCTCCTCTTCTATCGACTCTCACAAGTCGTAAAATCTGCAAGAATCTCAATCCTCTCAAAGCAGAAAAAGCAAACATTTGCCCTGAAGTACCTATTGCTATGATAATAACTGAAACTGCCATTACTATCATATCTGAAACGACAAAAATAGAGAATGCCTTTGTTTTTATAGGTTACTTTTGTTTTTATGAATGTTAGCTATAGAGGGCAGTATAACAAAACTTAAGTTGTGGTTCAGTATCAATTTTATTCACGCAGTTTTGTTGAGATACATGGTCAGCAATGCAGTGTTTAAATTTTGACACTACCTGAATTCCATGACGATACATCAAATTGAATCATATTTAATGCATTTTCCTGAACAATATTGCGATAATGTCATTTATAAACCAAAACTATACACACCAAGGCAAACAATGAATTTTCCGCCACAATCTTTCCAAGAGTACTCTGTTTCAAAATATGCAAATCATGTATTTATGTTCAAAAATGATAAAGAAGACATAGACACAGTTTGAACATCATCATGTTGGCAATTATAATGAAATCAAACACTATTTTTCATATATTATCCTTTAACTTTAAGCCTTTTTCGTAAAACAGATCCCACACTAATCAGATGTACATTAAGACTGATACAATTTCTCCAATTCAGGAGTAAGCTGCTAAGAAATGCAGTTAGAAATCACTCATCCCTTAATTTTAGCTTTATATCAAACACGCTCATTTTCAAATTTACATCTTACAAGACTGAATGAATGCATTACAGACTGATTCACTTCAGAAGAAATGTGGTATAAACTATAAAATGAGAAATGTTTCAAACACAATATGAAAGAAAGAACTATAGTGACAGTCAAATTAACAGAAACAGCATTTCCACAACAATTTTCTTTTCATAGCTTTAGTTCCTGATATGTTCCTTCACACAATTAGCTTTACAGCTCACATAGTCTTAGTGTACGGATTGATACAATCCCCTTGTTTCATATAAACATGTATAACAAGATAAACTTTCTTTCACAAACAGATAAAAGAGCCGTAAAACAGAAATTACAGTTGACATTAAATTGATGCAAAACCTCATTTGCATAATTGTTCAATTTTCCCGAAATTAAAAAAATGCTAGGGTCAAACAAAGAATCACTTTTGCACAGCCTTATATTCATTTATGAATGAAACCAAAAGACAATAATACACTCTACCTAGAATACAAAGAGGTCTTTTAATAAATCTCAGACGTCCCGGAGTGCCTTGGTATCGACTCCTGCACCCTGCAGACCACACACGTAGTATAAACTCCACACTAAACCAGATAACGACAAATAACTCCTAAGAATAGAAGAGAAAAAAAGTGTTTTTTGTTAGCAATTCAAGACTTTTGTGAGTGACTTTTTTATCTACAGCTAATTACTGGTAATTGCCATTAATTGTTTATGTTAGTCAAACTGCAGCATTAGCAATAGATGTCAAATACAACACCTCAACAAATAATATGTAGTGTTCCACTCACTGTACGCTGCTCTACTAATGCCAATGAGAATTTCTCACCATCTTTTTCTGATAGAATTGCTTCAACTAATTTTTACCGACAAATTGGATTCTCACCAATGAAACGATGAGATTTTCAAATCTCACCAACAAGTTAATAAGAATTCATGTTGTCCAAAACAGGCTGTAGGGTTGGCATTTCAAATGATTATAATGTATATAGTCCAAAACAGACTTTAGAGGGCAGTATACAACTGAAAAGCTGTAGTGTTGTCATTACAAATGACCCATAATATATGTAGTCCAAAACAGACTATAGAGGGCAGTATACAAATGAAAAGCTATAGGATTGGCAGTAGAAAAGACCCATTTTATTTATATATATATATATATATATATATATATATATATATATATATGAATATTTTATTAAATATTATCAAGAATGTCATTCCGTTAATACATTCAAGGTGACATTTATTTTTATTTTTAATAATGTATTAGTATTGGTTAACAGCTAAAACAACAAGAATTAAATTTCCACTTGTCTTAGTTTAAACTTATAAAACCTCAGGATTCATTCAAGGATTATTTTTCAAAAGATATTTTGAGAATCTAACACATAAATTCCTAAGGTCGAAAGAGTTGAGACTTGCCCTCCCGAGTATTACTGGTATTTGTGACATCTGCTACAAGGTTAACAATAGGTAACTGAGAGTTATCAATGTAGGACACTTAAGATACACTGTAATCGTTTTAATTTCGCTATGAAAATAAATTTCATGAATTCGCAAAAAAATGTCATTTGGGATCTTTATGACAGCGAGTCATATTATATTGAAATTTTGTCTTTATGATTAAACGATAAATTATTATATCATCAAAATAGTGGTGAAAATAAAACTGTATACAGTATTATGTTACCTAGCAACAGGCATCCATTTGGAAATGGTGGTTCAAACATTCCCACTAAAACATCACAAATAACATCTAATTTGTCAATGAAGTCACTTTAATGTAAAATTTCAAAGCATCAGTTGCAAGAGCAAATCCAGGATGTAATTTTTCCTGGTTTGCGTTTTCATGTAAACTGGAAATCAAAACAGAAAATATCTTCAGATTGTAAGGGTTTTGAATGAACCCAATGAGTTTCTTTTGCATCTGCTATCGAGTATTAAATATATTTTAATACTTAAGTTACTCTGGTGTAAGATTCAAAGAATCAGTTTGTTTCTAAGTGTTAAAAAACGCAAAACAAAAAATTGAACTTACGAGGTAAAAGAGCACCGAATTGCAGATGTGATAATAGCCTTGTATGGTAGAAAAAACACTGAGTACAAGGCACCCAAAAATCACCAAAAATCTATAAATAAAATATAAGAAAAATATATTAGTAAGTCACATGATATGAAATCATATTATCAGGTTTCACATATCAAACACTATTGTGTTTTATGAAGTCAACCAGAATTAATCAACAACAATTTGGTCTCTATGTGTCACACAACTTCTACACAAGATCTAATGACACATTATATTTATTTTGGTGAATTTTCACATATTCCATGAGAAATAAACCTTAGAAAAAGATAATCCAGCCAAGAATCTTTTAATATGGAGGTACCGGTAACACCACAGTCATATAAAGCTGCTGGCTGGCATATACTCATAATTTCTCTGGTGATTTAATTTGTGAAATTTATGACACATTTTTCTTTTTTTTTTTAGAAACTGTTGTTATTTATATTATCATTTATTATTATTTATGATTTATTACTATATAAAACACAACTCTCTATATTGCCATACAGGGTGTACTTGTGTTCAGTTGTCATAGAGGGCATACTTGTATTCAGTTGCCATAGAGGGCATACTTTTATTCAGGTGTCATAGAGGGCATACTTTTATTCAGTTGCCATAGAGGGCATACTTTTATTCAGGTGTCATAGAGAGCATACTTTTATTCAGTTGCCATAGAGGGCAAACTTTTATTCAGGTGTCATAGATGGTAGCAAGACTGGGATGCAGAAAGACAGCTGCTTTTGTCATGGCAGCAAATAAAAACAAATCAGTCTGTTGATTTTGGGGGAAAGTGGTCTAATTTTTACATTTTGAACAAGTAGAGGTTATCTTGTTACACTGTTTAAGAAACTTTCCCAAAGTACAGTTTTCTGAGAGTTTTCAGTTGTTTTGATGTCCAACCTTGAGAATTGCATGAAAAAATGTCGAAATAAAAGGATTTGACTTCGAACTTGAGTTTGTATAGCTCAATGTCAGAAAGCTGATCTTCGAAAGAGAAATATTGTGCTAAGATACCCTTACTTCATCAAAATTGACCATCACCAAATGTGTATAGTACATTATTATACATCTGTCACCGTAACGCCGTATTTTACAGGGTATTTTCATCCTACCATATTAGGAAAAGCGAATTCCAAATATGGAATGATTACACGCGTAAGCGTCCTTTAATAATAAAAACAAACATGGCTGCCACCACGGTTTGACCGAACTCCACACAAAGAAGTTCGCTGATTCTGTTTTAAACTTTTTGAATTTCGGCATTCCAATGATGTATCCTTCGTAGGAAAAGACGTATACTAATAAGGTTTTTTTGGAAGATACCTCAAAGTATGCATGAGACAGTACAACGGCAGTATTGACCGACACGCAGTGGAGATCGATGCAACAGCGTACTGTCCTCGTGCGTACTTTGAGGTATCTTCGTAATAACCTTATAGTGTTAAGCGTGGAATTACCCCCAAAATACATGTGTATTTGTTGAATAACAAGTGATGTTTTACATCACTACAATGCTATGACCTTTGTTTGATTTCACACACACTGCAGGATCTAGCAGTGAACAGATCAGATTTTAACACTCCTAAGTGAGTAGATAATTACTAGAAAAAATTTCGGTGAAAGTGACAAGCATTTGAATCAGAACAATGAAGAGGTGAGAGTTGACTGTCAACAGTCGAATTTAGTTTTGTTCATTTTCATTTGTAATGAGATCATGTTCCTGTGATTGGCCTTCACAATAATCCCAGCTATCTTTGTCTGCTTTGCATTCTAACAAAATACAAAATATTGATAAGAAAATGGCAGGCATGAAAGCTGCATCTGACATCAATCAATAGAGTATAGCTATACAGCTTTGTGCTGATCTCAAATTGAGGCAATAGAAACAGAGATGATATAGCTTGATAAGAAAACGACCAAATCCCTGAACGTGACTGCATTCAAGAAAGTGTTTTCTTCTCCACTTTATTCACTCTATTCTTCATCAGATATACAAAGGTGATAAAAATAGAAGCCAACACTAGCACAGAAAAACCATCAAAAGTAGTCCGTTTATAGTCATGCATCGATGGACAATCACATTTTGTGTGTCATCATTATTATTTTCTCTAATAGCCATATTCTTGAACAGATCTTCAAAATGTTTTTGTACGACAATTAACCCCTTGATTTCCAAAGTCAAGTTCAGGCACCATCCATAAAATAGTTCCATTTATAGTCTGTTCTTTTCCACATAAAATGTTGTGAAAATTTCAATTTTTTTATCAAAAACTGGAAATAATGTCACATTTTGTCTGTTTGGTCCAACATTAAGAATGAATTCAGTGAT